TATATATTGTAAACATGTACAATAACTTGTATATAATATATTTATATATATTGTTAACATGTACAATAACTTGTATATAATATATTTATATATATTGTTAACATGTACAATAACTTGTATATAAAGTCAGACGAGGTTGGTTTATAATGTGATGGAAAGGTAGATGGATATACAATAGAACAGTTTTATTCACGTGATTTATAGTTTCTCAGAAACTTGTTCTGTAGAAAATGACCGTTTTGAATCTTCAACCAGGCACTATTGAATCCACACGTGCGAACCTTCTGTCACTTCATATAATCTTTTGATCATATACTTTCGTGCTCACTCGGAGAACAAAGACTGTTTTATTATGATTATTAAGATTTTTGGATCATCTGCTGTACCACAAATCAACCTTTGTGAAAGGAAGGAAATTAGAAAAAATTATAAATCGATAGGAGATTGGTCAGTGGTCTAAACGCTTAGTTGTTTGATCGATGGCAGCTTATTTTTCTGTTGTTCTTTTGTTTTCTTGCTTGTTTCATTCGTTTTGACGTCCGTATTCCGTTTTGTAAAAGTCATTAAAGTTTATACTAGAGATATTTACTAAGATCAAGTCGAAAACATGGAAAGATGTTTGATTACACGAAGATTGAGTATCTACAGGAATTCCATTACTCTAAGTCAGAATTGGAAATTTTAAGGTCAAACATGAGAACAAAGTGAAACACCCATGTTTTCAGCCGTTAATACAATTAAACGCAGATACTAATTTCGTGTAACCGTTATTAGGGAACTGTAGCCCAGCCTTACTATTTGTTCAACGGTAGTTTTTAGAAAATAATATTTATATTTCTGCCTGTTTTTGTTTTTTAGTTAAGTATCATTACCTCTCTACTTATTCATGTGAGCATGTGTTTGTTATGATATTAAATACAGTGAATAATCTTTGGCGTCGCTAAATTATGTATTCGTATACTAATAAAGTTTCTCTCGTACTATTATCTAAAGTAAGTATTCGTTATACAAATGACTACTACCACGAATAAACGTAATGATCTGATACACGACAAAGGTACATTTATTTTTATTGTCTTAGAACTTAATCAGTCTCTAGTTTACTTAGTTTACGTTACTCGCCTTTTCCACAGGTTTGACATTCTTGTCAATGGGGGAGGCGCAGTGACATTAGAGTTCCAAAGAAGTCATTTTCATCCAATCAAGCGTACAATCATGGTGCCCTGGAATGACATTGTTGTCATGGAAACAGTTGTTATGTCGGTCACATTGGAAGATAATTCATCTGGTGGCAGCCAAGATCAGCAGGATCCCTGTCTTGCCCACGACTATGACGTCATGAAACCAATCGTCTACCAGACATGGCGCCCTGGTTCTCAGGGAGGTTGTACAGAGAAGAGTGTACTCGTTGCCGAAACACAAGTTAGTTTCAGATATTTCTTCTTCATGCACGAGTTTTGGTTAAAATACAAAATGAATAAAAACTAATACGTATCATTTATTTAGAAATTAAAAATTTTATCAGTTTTATCTGTCCTTTAAAGATAAAGCTTGATGTTGAGTCAGCTCAACAATGTACTATTTGAACTGTACTATTATAGGTCCTTCAAGAGACAGTCAACATTCCCGGTTCAGATTTGCATCTAGTATACCACAGTAGTCATGCCCAAGGTTATCTCTCCACAATTCATCTTCAGCTGACACCCTCGAAAGTGCCCGAGACACTGCGGCTCGTTATTCTTCGTATTGTCGTAGAAGGTATACTATTTGAAAAGACTTTTGAAGCCGACCCTCATATTAAGTACACATACGCTTGGAATAAAAGAAACATCTACAAGCAGAAAGTGTTTGGACTAACGACAGCAAGAGGTAATTTTAGAATAAGGTTATTAAAAGCTCGTGTTCTCATTTCTTGTATTCACCCTTTGTTTCTGAAAACTACGTTCCACTTTATTCAAATGAAGGCCTGGTGGATAGGGAGCTGGGCTCGCAAGCTGCGGATCGCGGGTTCGAATCTCCGTCACCGAACATGCTTACCCTTTCAGCCGTGAGGGCGTTATATGTGACGGTCAATCCTATTATTCGTTGGTTAAAGAGTAGCCTAAGAATTATCGGTTGGCGGTGTTTACTAACTGCCTTCCCTCTAATCTTTCAATGCTAAATTAGACCTTTTAATTTAAATTTTTGATTGTATAATCTTGGTGACTAGGAGGCCAAAAGTTGCCCATTAGTTAGCGCGTCAGGCTGTGCACCTGATATTCAATGGTTCGCGTCCCGTTACCACCAAACAATAGCCTCGTTCCGCATTTTGGAGTCGTGAGTGCGTTATAATAGTGATGGTCAAACATAGCCAGATTATTCAATGGGCCCCGGCCCTGACGAAAATCGATCTTTGTTTTATGCCACCACCAAATATGTTTTTATTCGTGTTTTATATTTGAACTTAATCTGGCAAAAATCAATGTGTAAACATTTTGAAAATTATCATTTTTATAGTTTTTACATTTCTAAGTTTTAAGTAAATTTCATTATTTTGTTTAAATCTATATGATTTTATTTGAGAATGCACAGGGTCTAGTGCGAGAAAGACTATATGTAGTTGTTTTTTTTACCAATTTCATCATATTGATATTCACATAGATAATTTTTGTTATGAATTTAATTGTTGATAAAGGTCATAATTTCAAGTATATGGCGAGGTTGTGAGCCAGTATGTTTTAAGGGGGGGGGGGTCAATCTGACAATGCGGTAAAATCCCACTTTTTTGGAGTGACAAAATTAGATTAAGATTCCGAAGTGAATGTTGCTGACTAGCTCCTTCCCGGCCCGGCATGGCCAAGTGGTAAGGGCTCTTGACTCGCGAAGCCCCGTCCCACCAAACATGCTCGCCCTTTCAGCCGTGGGGGCGTGACAGTTAATCCCACTATTCGTTGGTAAAAGAGTAGCCCAAGAGTGGGCGGTGGGTGGTGATGACTAGCTGCTTTTCCTCTAGTATTGCATTACTAAATTAGGGACGACTAGCACAGATACCCCTCGTGTAGCTTTGTGCTTAACTTTATATAAACAAACAAGGCTCCTTCCTTCTAGTTGTCCCCTAGTGGCACAGCGGTATGTCTGCGGACTTAGAACGCAAAAAACCGGGTTTCGATACCCGTGGTGGGCAGAGAACAGATAGCCCATTGTGTAGCTTTGTGCTTAACTTCAAACAAACAAACAAAGCTCCTTCCTTCTCGTTGTCCCCTAGTGGCACAGCGGTATGTCTGCGGACTTACAACGCAAGAAACTGGGTTTCGATACCCGTGGTGGGCAGAGAACAGATTGCCCATTGTTTAGTTTGTGCTTAAGTTCAAACAAATAAACACTATATTTTACTTGCTTCTAATACTTGCCCTTTCTTCATTCAAGTAAAGATTAGTTTTTTTTTTCAGTCCTGAAAAATCAGACGCGTATTTTTTTTTTCTTCGAAGTTTGATTGATTCTTTTAACTTTTTGTTTTGTGAAAAAATAAACTTCAAAATATTTTCCTTAGAGGACCTTAGCAATTACTTACAATTAAAGTGATGGATTTTCTGAAACTTCACAACCTTGAAATTCTGACGTTGGGTGTTACGGTAGATTGTCCGTGAATTGTTAAATTTGTGATCTTATTTTAATATGTTTTAACCCCATTTGTTAATATCAAATGCAGATAATGAGAGTCTTGGTACTATATAATGATATTGAGTCTCATCTCTTTTCCTTCTCAGTCTTCGTGGGCTATAAATACCACACATGCCAAGGGGTGGTGTGGACAGCCCAAGCCATTACCATCAGGGGTTACGATATGGATGTTTCAGAACTTGGAGGATGGAATCTCGACATCCACCATCGTTATAATTTCCATGAAGGTAAGCCCCTAATGTCATAATAAAAGTGAGGAAAGAATGCTTCTCATGATTTTAGTTTGTCTTCTGAATGTTTTTGTTTACTTTTCAACGACATACATTTGTTTACTCTTCAACGACATACATTTGTTTACTCTTCAACGACATACATTGTTTACTCCTCAACGACATACATTTGTTTACTCTTCAACAACATACTTTGTTTACTCCTCAACGACATACATTTGTTTACTCTTCAATGACATCCTTTATTTACTCCTCAACGACATACATTTGTTTACTCTTCAACAACATACTTTGTTTACTCCTCAACGACATACATTTGTTTACTCTTCAACAACATACTTTGTTTACTCCTCAACGACATACATTTGTTTACTCCTCAACAACATACTTTGTTTACTCTTCAACGACATGCATTTGTTTACTCTTCAACGTCATACTTTGTTTACTCTTTAACGACATACATTTGTACTGAACTAGTTTTTTACATTGTTTAGATTGTTCTTGTTGTAATATTGCATGATCCTTGCTACAACTTGCGTAATTTCTTCCAATAAATTCTGGAGAGCATAAGTAGTTTTAAACTTCAGGACAGTACACTTTCGTCGAAAAACCAAGATAAGCCAAAAATATATAGAGTTATAACAACTATATCCCCCCCAAATGTTTTTGATTATTTAAACACGGCATGTTACTTATAAATCTCAATTATATTATATATTGTGTCCCCCGCTGAAACCCGGGGTTATATTCCCCGCGGTGGACACAGCAGATGGCTTTTCTCTAAAACAAACACCAATGCCATATATTGTTCTTATTTTAAGAGTGTTACAGAAACATGTTAGTTTCTTAGTTTTATTTTGTTTCTTTGCACTATATAAGTGTTACAAGAAAGTTGTTTGTCTTGGTTTGTTCCCACTAGGAGTGCTACAAAAAGGTGATGGTTCCACAATCTATTTCCGCCAGCAACCTAGAGTTATATCTGTTCTTATGGGCACGGGACAGCAGCGTCCTCTACTCTGTCCAGAATGTAATGGCATGGCTAGAGAAAACAAGCTTTTAGCGCCGGTAGCACTGACAAGTGGACCAGATGGCAGTGTGTACGTAGGGGACTTTAATCTAGTCCGGCGTATCAATCCCCTGGGACAAGTTTACACCTTGCTTCGGATGAGGTAACAACCATATCGTTTCCAAATAAAATATCTGATATCAACTATGCTATTTTAGATCATAAATAACACGTAGTTAGTACCCGAACAACAGTTAGAGTAATAAATTTTATTTACTGTAATAGGTACTCATTAACATAGTTTTTTTTTTACGAAGCCTTGATGTAATTGACAAGTGCTATACTATCTTGAATTGCCACGTGTTTGTGTGGGTGGGGGTGTTTCCTTTATTAGCTGCGTGGAATGTTTTCTATTCCTCCATCAACTTACCAAAAATACGTTTCTGTTCGTTATAAATGGCATGACTTTCGAGTTACGTAACATTACTGAATACCTAAAAATAAATCTTTTTAGAATGTCTTCCTCAAATTACTCAACAAAGCAGTTAGAAGTACATTTACTTACGTCACACAGAGATCGGATATTTCTGTGTTTCCAATAACACCACACATGGAAATCCCAGGCGTGCGATAATTGTGATTATTTTTGTGAACTTCCTTCTCACATATTCAGTGTAAGAAAGACATTTTTAGTACAGTTCAATCAATACCTTTTACTGTTCCACTTCAAACCGCATCTGTAGCTCTTTGTATGAATCAGTGTTTATTTTGTTTTATGAGCTTTTAATAATTAATGAGTCACATACTACCATACTTAAACTAAACTTTCCCTGAGTCACATAATACCATACTTAAACTAAACTTTGGCTGAGTCACATACTACCATACTTAAACTAAATTTTAGCATTATTTAGTGTAAGGTAACGAAAACGAAAATACACATTTAAAATGATTATATCTTATAATATATATGTCCTCAAAGAACAAAATTCCACTGGGGGTTCATTCAGGAAAGTTTAGATAAGGGTACACAGTGTTTTAGAGCTATACTCCTAAATTGCTTTTATAGAAAACTAGCATTTATCTTATTTCTCTTCTTTGTCTCGCTTTCAACAATAAGAGATTAGTGATTTAATAAAGGCCTTATCAGTATTTACGATATTTCAAAGATCAATGATGATGCTAGCAGTGGCTTTATTTAAAGATAGGTTTGAGATGTTGATGGAGAATGATAGAAAGCATAATGAACATCGTCTGTTATTACTTTTGAAACACCCTATACCATGTTCTAACTCTCCTGAGTAAAACATAGGATCCTCAATGCAGCTCCCCTAAGACGAGTAGTTTAAGATATTTCTCAATATGGGGCTTTCTTTATAATTAGCTTCTATTAGAAATAGAAGAAATAACTCAACTAGATGTAGGGCTTTGCTCATAGAAATAAATCCTAACTTTTTCCTCCTCTTTCTCTATATCAAGTATTTATCAGTAAATCACTAACATTAATAACTTTGGATAATATTTTCCTAAATAGATATTCACTAAGCATCTTATTAATTTCTATCAGTTATCTGTAGCTCTAAAATTTCTCTTCTTGAAACAACGAAAGGAAAACGGATTTTCAAAGGTCTTTCTCAAAATTTACTGTCTCTTTAAGCTGTGGGGTAAAAATTCTTTTACTAATATTTCTCTCCCTTCTTCAACTAATCCTAAAGGACAACAGAGGTGTCTTATGAGTATCATCTAACCTTGAGTCCAACTGATGGCCATCTCTACATCTCAGACGCTGAACGGCACCAAATCCTTCGCGTGCGTTCCCTAGACAAGGTCGAAGATGCTGACTCCAATTTTGAAGCGGTGGTAGGTAGTGGAAAAAGATGCCTTCCGGGTGACAAACAGAACTGTGGAGACGAGGGCCCTGCCATAGAAGCCAGACTTTCTTATCCTAAAGGTACAAGCCACTTGTTTCCTAACGCTACTCTGATAACTCTGAAATTTATTTGAAGAGGATTGTTCAATGATTGTGCTCTTTAATAAGCTTCCAAGTTTGTTAATTTAAAGCCTTTGAACGCTTGGTATAGAAATCATTAACGAAACACTCCAATGTATGTTACAGAATCAAAACAATATACAGTTTGGCAATTGCCAACCGATGTTTATTTGGGGAGGGGGGTAATGTTTTATGCTAAGGTTATCTAACTACTCGTGTCATTAGACGCGGCTGACATTGTTATTTTTGAAAACTACAAAATATTTTAAAGTATTTTTGTATGTTTATAATAAATGTTTCTACTGAGAGAGAATCGCAAATTATAACAACAGAACTCCAGTTCCTGTGTCGCCCTTGGAAATAATTCATTTATCATTGATCGTGCTCAGACTGACGACTGTGATTAAGCACTATATATATTACACTCAGTGATTTCCATTTTAACAAGTTTCTCCTTAGTTTCGCGTAGAAACACACTTTGACAAACTTTCTACGACACCCCCCTCCATCCACGGTATGTGGACCTCGGCTCCCAATACCCGTTTAAGTAATCTAAAGGCAGAAAAGTCCATTGGAGCTGTATCAAGGGACTTTACAGGCATGTGGTCGAGTGCGTTTGCAATAATTCTTTGATTTCAGCATCTTTCTTATGAGATAAGTCTTGCCTTCGTGGTGTGGCTGAAAGACTCTGGGCTTTTATCATATTCAAATTATTATTTATTCATTTGTTAACAGAATCAGGAGACATGCTCAACTTCATCACAATGTTTTTTGGTTTTTTTTCTGGAGGAGGGTTAAAGGGTTCTCTTATGTAATACAGCACAATTTAATATACATAGAGTCACTAGTCGATTATTTTGTTTCAATAACAAAGAGTTCGTCTGATCGTTTGTCGCTACTGCGAAATTATACTACAGCAAAAAGACAGATATTCTAAGGAAATACAGTGAGCCAATCAAATCAAACTTTATAAAAACAATTCGTATATTCCACTGTAGTTCTAAGGAAATACAGTGAGCCAATCAAATCAAACTTTATAAAAACAATTCGTATATTCCACTGTAGTTCTAAGGAAATACAGTGAGCCAATCAAATCAAACTTTATAAAAACAATTCGTATATTCCACTGTAGTTCTAAGGAAATACAGTGAGCCAATCAAATCAAACTTTATAAAAACAATTCGTATATTCCACTGTAGTAGCGTGTTGACACACATGAGAGTCGTGGCGCCATGGGCGATGTGTTTAGCATCTATGCATTAGGTCATAGCAAATTCCTGACCATTCATCTTTGAAACGCGGCCATGAATAAAATTACGTCTGGAGGATTATCTAACCAAAGAAAAACGTTCAAAGTATAAAGCGATATAGATCCAAAAGATAGAGCAATGGACTCCGAAGCAATATCCCACGTAAGCTAGTCCAGTGCAACGTCATCATCCACAAAGTGAAGGCTATTCAATATAATTGCTATTATTAATGCGTTATATGACGCGTAGAAGTCAGTACTAGTTATTATTTTCAAAATACTATCAATCAATTATCAAATGTCGATTACGGGAGACCCGTTTACTCTCTGCGTATACTCATAATAAAATATAAGGTGCAAGACACTAGTAAAATATAAAATACGACAGCTAACCTATAGGTTTATAAATGTTGTACTTGTGCAACTAATTGCTACAGTCTCAAATTCTTTTGTAAACTATTAAAATAAGATATAAATTATAATATCAATTATATTCGTTTGTGGACACTAATAGAGTGCAGTTGCTTATATAACGTTTTATTTTTAAATGGAGCGAGCGTGGCCCAGTGGATAACATGCCAGAAAATTAATCTATGGGTCCTTTGTGCGCGTCTCATTACAGCACGAAAAAAAAAAAAACGGAAAAATCGTACCCTGCCGAAGTTCCAATCATACCGACATCAGGTTCAATTACATAGGCAATTTTATGGTTCATTAATGACACAAAAGTACGCGAGAAGAAACACAATACAATTCAAGGCCTTGATTTTAATCAAATGTTAATTTTGTAACTTTTAGAACATTTCTATCGCTTATTTTCATGGGTAGGTACAATTTTAACTGCGTATCATACAACTAAACTAGTTTTTCTCCCCTCAGTTGCATGCTAGATATGCGTACTTTAACGAGTACCATACAACTAAACTAGTTTTTCTCCCCTCAGTTGCATGCTAGATATGCGTAGTTTAACAGGTACCATACAACTAAACTAGTTTTTCTCCCCTCAGTTGCATGCTAGATATGCGTAGTTTAACGGGTACCATACAACTAGACTAGTTTTTCTCCCCTCAGTTGCATGCTAGATATGCGTAGTTCAACGGGTGTCATATAACATTCATACACTTTGTAGTTAAACAAACGAACAGAAAGATCGATAATCTAAGACGCAATGTGAAATGTAAGTCAGGGATCGTTACAAAAAGAAAATCCATATATTCTATATAATATTATCTTCAGGTTTACGTAACACAATGATCTATCTGTTCTCTGCCCACCGCGAGTATCAAAACCCGAATTTTAGCGTCGTACTTTTACAGACTTCTCGCCGAGTCACTGGGAAAAGAGAGGAAGAAGAAAAGAGAAAGCCTAAAAGTAAATCTAAAAATAATAGCTTTATGGTTTCATTTGCTTCAGTGCCAAAAACTAGTCGTCCCTTATTACAAGTCACTGCTAGAATTATCGGGAAACAAAACACAAGATTGACGAGTTTGTAGTTACACAAACGCACAGTCAGGGAAAGATCGATAATATAAGACACAAAGTAAAATGTAAGTCAGGGTTTGTTATAAAAAAAGAAAAAACAAACATTCTAGATAAAATATCCTCAGATTTACGTAACATGAAAGTCAACCCGTGCTGTTCTCATTGTGCATTTAATTTTGGACTAATTCTCAACTTAACTGAAGCGTAAGATTTCGCCATATCGATTTTATAGCTATGTTAACATATAGTAATAAAATTCGATGAATTAACAAAAAATAATAATCAAAGATCCTGAATATAGAATGAACCAAACATACACCTTGTTCGATAACGGACCTTAAAGTTAATCCCGATGTCAAGAAGACAACAGATTACATAAACGAAGGAATATCTCCCTCTAATCCGCTCTTATTCCTTTATAATCTAGGATTATAACTCCTTGTTTCTCTTTGTAACCATTTTACAACTCGCATCACGTTTGTTCTAATTTCTCAGTTTTCTCTTCAATTTTCCAACTCATACTTTATTACCTATGATATTATTTATATCTATCATTGGGGGCATCTTCTCTTCTTTACTACTTATCTTATTTTCTTTCAGGGATGGCAGTTGCAGTAGACAGTACCTAATATTTATTTTCTTTCAGGGATGACAGTTGCAGTAGACAGTACCTTATATTTATTTCTTTCAGGGATGGCAGTTGCAGTAGACAGTACCTTATATTTATTTTCTTTCAGGGATGGCAGTTGCAGTAGACAGTACCTCATATTTATTTTCTTTCAGGGATGACAGTTGCAGTAGATAGTACCTTATATTTATTTTCTTTCAGGGATGACAGTTGCAGTAGACAGTACCTTATATTTATTTTCTTTCAGGGATGACAGTTGCAGTAGACAGT